AGAGTTCTCTTGGCAACCCTGGAAGGGCAGGCATAGGGGGTGTGTTTAGAAATTATCTGGGTGTGGCGATGGCACTCTACTATGGATCAATAGGTTATGGTGACTCAATACAGGCCGAATCTCTAGCCCTACTTCAAGGTCTAAAGATGGATGAGCAGATAGAAACAACAGACTTAGAAATTGAAGGAGACTCTCTATTGGTCATCTCTTGGGCGAAAGACATCACATCAGCACCTTGGAAGCTCAAGTTTATTTTCAGAGAAATTGACACACTTGCGAGGAAATTCAACTCTCAGTTTGGTTGGGTTAAAAGGGATGCAAATGGGATGGCGGATACCCTAGCAAAACAAGGGGCAAATAGATCTTCATTGTATTGGGCAGAATTGTAACTGATTGCTGGAGATTGCAATTTCCTATGCAATCTTTAGCTATTGTATTTTAATCTCTCTGTTATTAATGAAAGATTTTTACTGATAAAAAAAAAAAAAACTAGAAAGAATTGGATCAGAAATGAAGTCATTCTTAGAAACTTAGAAGTAGCTCCAATAGGTGATAAATTGAGAGAAAGTAGACTCAAATGGTTGGTTACATGCCTGAAAGACCATCAACAACACCTGTAAGAAGAAGTGGTTTGTTGCAAGTTCAAGGGGTTAGAAGGGTGGTAGTAAGAAATGCTTTAAGCACCAATAATTTAATAATGGCTATGGCTTTAAACATAATGGAATGGTGAAGCAAGATTAGTGTAGCTGACCCCATATGGTTGGGATGAGGCTTGAATGATGATTGTGATGATATTTGGCCTTAAAATGGTGTATTAATTCTTACTTTGTTCTCTCCATGCCTTTGGTGTGTTTAATAAATAAACTTAATAAGAACCTTCCAAATTGCAACAAGAAAACTCTTTCAAAAAAAATCTTGTTTGCATGATGTTTCTGCTCAGTAATCTTTTGCATATAGGGACCATTGCTTGGTTTAGTGATACAATGTCTGACTGGCAAGTATAAGAATGCAGGTTTCAGTCTTGGATTGGCCTTTTTTGTGCTGAAAAAAAGGAAAAGCTTAGGTCTGTATCCAGTATACCCCTCCCAAGACCCCAGATAGTTGGGACCAATATTGGGTAATGACCTTTTTATCGGTTGCATTTTATCTCATTCTTTTCCTAAATATCAACAACAATGAATTATTCAAATACAAAAAAAGGTGCTACGAGCATCGAGCCCTTGAGGAAGTAAAAGGATGAATTAAAATCAGAATGAAAGCTACATCATCGTCGAAAAGGAAGAAGAAAAAACAAAGGCATCTCAATATAGAATGTTCCTTATAGTACTTACATCCCCCTGCCCCAGCTTCACCAGGACTGTCTGACATCTAACAGTAACACACTGGTCTTGGAATCAATTCCAATGAGGTGTTCAATCTGGATTCCAAGGTTATAACTTTCCTGATAAAGTGTCCAGGGCCTAGGGGTTGGTGGACCCATCCATATCATCTAAATTCTAGCAAGGAGGTCAATCTGAGTCTCAAATCCCAGCAATCATCCATCAGTCTCTAACTGAGCTTGTTGGATTACCTCTGGATTTCTCTAACTGAAACCTAAAATACATCTATGATGCAAATGGGGTCAATGATGGTCGCAGCAGATTAATGTTTTTTTCTTATTTT